TTTTTTTTTTTTTTTTTTTTTTTTTGCAGCAAACATGTTATAGACCAATATCCCATTTGAAGCTAACCGCATCACAAATGCTATTTCTGATCAGTTTGTCAAACGACTTCAATATTTGGATTTTTCTTTGGTTTAAAAAGTAAGTTCATTCACAAGTATATTTTTAAAAAGACTAGAGCATACAGCCCCAGTGTTCTTGTGTATTAGGCGAATGAAGGCTCATGTGGTGTAAGAACAAAACTGTGGATTGATGAAAATCGCATTATTAGGTATAATCTATCTTTTATGTGAATTTAGATATAGATTTCTTAATTTATTTTACAAATAAAAATAACATGTTAAAAGTTCTTAAAGAGTTCTATATATATGTTGTAACTTTTGGATCACTATTACTTTTGAAACATCGCAAAAGAACCATGAAAGCTTGAACGCTCACGACGTATCTAACTATACTATTTTATATTTTATCTTTTTATCCTCCTAAATCATACATCGATATACATTTAAAATTATCGACCACTTGAGAATTTAATTGAAATGGTACAAAACAGATAAAAATATCACAAATTGTTTATTCTCTTTCATCTCTCTCGAAAAAATCGGTATCTACTGCCAATTCCTCATTCACAAAATGCCCTTATAAATCAAAATTTCTCATAATTTACTTATCTACATTTTACATTAATGTGTGATTTCAATTTTTCCTCTTTGCTATGACTAAGGTATTACGTGCGAGGCACCTATATAGAAACTAGTTATTATAAANAACACCCATAGTCAAATTAGCCCTAAAATACAAGACCCATCAATTACCCACACTAGGGTTGAGCCACAACCCTAGCTTATGGGTCTAGCTACTCATATTCAAATTAGAAAAACAAGAAATAGATTAAGATAAACACATATTAATTAATTGCTAAGCTAAATACAAAGATTCAATGATGGAAAGTAAGTAAAAATGCCCAAAATGGCTAAGAAAAGTCGACCCACGAGCGCAACTGATGCAATACAATATCTGATACCCTAAAAATGGAAAAAGAATCTATTTATATTAAGCTGAAAAATCTGGACAAGATTGCCCCACGGGGTTAGTGCGGACCGCACAAAATGGACCACGGTCCGCACTGGGCTCTTGACTTCAAAAATTTCACTCTCTGAACTTGGGCTCTGCGGACCGCACAGAATGGACTGCAGCCGCAGAGGCTTCTAGTGCGGTCCGCACACAATGGACTGCGGATCGCACAGGCTTCAAAGCTCCATTCTGCATCTTCTCTGAACCTTGGCTCTACGGACCGCACAGAATGGTAGTGCGGCCGCATTGCCTTTAGTGCGGACCACACAAAACCTAGTGCGGTCGCACTGCCTTAATGCCTGAAATACCAGATCTCTGAATCTCTCAGTGCGGACCGCACAAAGTGTAGTGCGGCCGCACTGGGCCTGTTTTGACTGAACTTGACTTGTCTTTGGCACTTGTGCAGTTACAACGGAGATAGGATGACATTGAAAATAGGGCCTTAACTTCCTAGATGCCATCGTTAATGCAAGTGCTAGGTTTTCTAGTTGAGGATACCGTGTCTCAGCATCCAGTAATGATTTGCTAACATAGTAAATAGGAGATTGTTTACCTTGGTCTTCACGAACCAAAACAACACTCACCGCTACTTCTGAAACAACAAGGTAGATAAGCACCCTTTCCCCCTCTTTTGGTTTTGCGAGTAACGGTGGATTTGACAAGTATGCTTTCAAGCTTTCGAGTGCTTGCTGACATTCTTCAGACCATTCGAACTGATCTTGCTTTTTAAGAGCTGAAAAGAACTTAAAGCATTTTTCTGATGACTTGGAAATAAATCTTCCCAAGGCTGCTATTCCTCCCGTCAGTCTCTGTACCTATTTCTTACTTGTAAGCATATCAGGAATTTCTTCAATAGCTTTAATCTGTGCGGGATTTACTTCAATGCCATGGTTAGAAACAAGAAACCTAAAAACTTACCTGATGAAACGCCAAATGCACATTTCTCGGGATTCGGCTTCATATTGAATTTACGGAGAATCTGAAATGTATCAGACAGGTGCTGTATATGATTCCTTGATTGTTGGGATTTAACCAACATATCGTCTATATACACTTCTATGGTTTCCCCTAAATGTTCTTGGAACATTTTGGTCACCAACCTTTGGTATGTGGCACCAGCGTTCTTGAGGCCAAATGGCATTACTTTATAACAGTGAGTCCCCCTGTCTATTATAAATGAAGTTTTTTCCTCATCTAGAGGATCCATTTTGATTTGATTATACCCTGAATATGCATCTAAAAAACTTAACAATTCATGCCCTGCAGTAGCATCAATTAGTTGATCTATATGTGGTAATGGAAAAGAGTCTTTGGGACAAGCTTTGCTTAGGTCAGTGTAATATACACAAACTCGCCATTTACCATTCTTTTTTGGTACTACTACAGTAATAGCTAACCAATTAGGGTACTTTACCTCGCGAATAGACCCGATTTTTAAAAGTTTTTGCACCTCATCTTGAATCACCTGATTTTTGAACGCTCCCTGCTTTCTTTTCTTTTATTTGATAGGTGTATATGATGGATCTTCATTTAGCTTGTGAGTCGTTATTTCCGGAGGTATTCCTGTCATGTCAGAGTGGGACCAGGCAAGACAATCTACGTTAGATTTCAAAAATTCAGTTATCTTACCTTTCATTTCGTGGCTCAAGTTGGCCCCATAATAGACTTTCCTTTCAGGCTTTTGTGTGAATAGTTCTACAGCCTCCAACTCCTCAATCGTTGTTTTGATGTTTCCATTTTCCTTCGGTTCTTGGATGCAGTCGGGCCTTGAATCCACATCTATTCACCCATATTCAGTTGAGGCTTGCGTCGTAGTATCCTCAACTGGATTCTGTTATTGCTATTTTTCTTCGTTTTTTGCGCCTGAATCTGCTACGGAATTGATGATCCTAGGCGTCTGTTGATCACCACGGATTTGACAGATTCCCCATGGTGATGGGAATTTAATGACTTGATGTAAGGTAGATGGCACAGCATCCATTTCGTGAATCCATGGTCTCCCGAGAATCATATTATAAGCCATATCCATCTCCACCACCTGAAATTTCGTATCTTTGACAACTCCCTCTGCGAATGTTGTAAGTACTACCTCCCCTTTTGTCACGACGCTTGTATTGTCAAAGCCAGATAACGTATGTGCCTTAGGTACTAGCTTATCTTCGGCTTGCATCTCGTTTAATACTCTTACAAAAATGATGTTCACGGAACTACCTGGATCAATCAAAACTCGTTTCACATTAGTATCATGTACAAGTAGAGATATTACTAGTGCATCGTTGTGTGGATTTAACACGTCGTCCGCATCTGCATCATCAAATGTAATACTCTCCTCCTCCAAAATATGTCGGACCCGCTTCCCGTGTGTAACTGAAACTTTTGAAACTTTCTTGGTTGCCGTGTACGTCACGCCATTAATTTTTTCTCTCCCGCTTATAACGTTAATGGTACTTTTTGGTGAAGGAGGCTTAGGAGGTTCCTGCCTGTTTTTCATATATGCTTGTTTACCTTTTTCGCTAAACAACTCAGTAAGATATCCCTGCTTTAATAAATGGTCTACTTCTCCTTGTAGCAATCTACAATCTGTCGTTTTATGACCATGATCATTGTGAAACTCACACCAGTGATCAGGATTGCGCCTATTCGGATTTGATCTCATTTCTTTTGGCCACCGCACCTTATCACCCATGCTTCTTAATACAGCTACCAATTCAGTCGTGCTTACATTGAAACTGTAACCGCCAATTTTCTCCTTAGAGCTTCTGTCATCATCACGCTTCTCTCTTGCGTTTCGTTCTTTCCTAAACCTTGATGATGAACCTGACTCTCTGTCTCTCGACCTATGATCGTACCTTGAATTATCTCTTTTCGATCGTGAATCTCGTCCCGCTGGTCCCATATCAGGTTCGTACCTATTTTTACCGGACCTTTTTTCAGTTTCAGTACGCCTTGAACTTACCCTCTCTTCTTTTTGAAACTAGGTAATAGTATCTTCTTCAATCCGCATCTTCGTGCTGTATCTGTGGTAAACGTCATTCCAGGTTGTTGCTGGAAATTCTCGCAGGCTTTCCTTGAGTTGTCTCGTGGCCTCCGAACTCTTCTCATTTAGATTGCTGGTAAATGCCATTGCTGCCCAGTTATCAGGTACACGTGGCAACATTATCCGTTCATGCTGGAATCTGTCTACGAATTCTCTGAGCAGCTCCGAATCTCCTTGCTTTATTTTGAAAATATCCTCCATTCTCTTTTCGAATTTTTGAGCTCCCGAGTGTGCTTTAATAAATGAATCTGCAAGCTCAGCAAAAGAATTTATAGAATTTTCGGGCAAAAGAGAGTACCATGTTAATGCTCCCTTAGTGACTGTTTCACCAAATTTTTTGACCAGCACTGATTCAATTTCTTATTTAGTTAAATCGTTCCCCTTTACGCCAGTAGTGAATGCAGTCACGTGGTCTCGTGGATCAGTTGTGCCATCGTATTTTGGGATGTCGGGCATCTTGAATTTCTTCGGAATCGGTAGAGGAGCAGCACTGGGTTTCCAAGGTTGTTGCGAATATTGATCCATATCTATTCCCTTGATTACAGGCGGTACTCCAGGTATTTGCTCTATGCGATCGCTTTTCTCCTTAAGCTGTTTCTGTAAGGTTAATACTAAATTTTGTAAATCAGAATTAACTAGGTTACCTGGTTCGCCATCGCGAGATTCGCTAGGAGTTCCACCACTACCTGAATTAACGAGCCCAGAACGTGGGTTTTCTAAGGTATTATTATTCGGAGTTGGTGTTGGTGGTGCGACCAGCAACTAGCTAGCAAAAGCCTCAAGAGCTTTGCTGACCTGTTGAGCGATTAACTTTTGCAAAGCTTCTTTGATTGCCTCATCATTATCCAATTGATTATTTGCATTTGATTGAGATCCATCAGGAGTTCCTTCTTGAGATTGTCGAGGAGAACTTTGTGGAGAAGGGGCAGGGGTTCCATCACCTTGCAAATTCTCCTGGAGTTGACGGTCTCTTTGGTTGTTGTTGTTGTTGACATTTGATATGATTGATTGAATAAAAAGATTAATGTAGGGAGGATTAGATTATCAAATTTTCGGTAACGGAAACAATTTGTTTAACCAAAATTTGGGATTTCGGTCAAAGCTTTGTTTTAGAAAAATTCAGGTTACTGATAATCAAATATATAATGAATAAAAGGAATTGACTTTGATAAGCAGAAGAAAGCAAAATAAATCTGTATATTGCTATAGTATTTTTTTGTGTCCTTACAAATGTTCAATCTTCTCCCTTTTATAGCTACCTCGAAGTAATAGAGTCTTTATGATAATTAATGGCATTAATGTAACGTTATAATTGTTAATCATAACTGATTCTCTACAAATTCCATAACGCTTTCCGTAATTAATGCCTATTAATTACCAATAATACGTATCTATACCGCTTTTACTACAAAAGTTCATTCTTCTGATATAACTGCCGAATATCAATAGGTAGAGCTTTTATCCTTCCTCTGCCCGTGCCTGTTGAAGCTCGTGCCTTTTTTCTTTGCCAATCAGTCACTCTTCTACTAGTCCACGTGTCATGATATATCACCTCATATTTAATTCCATATACGAACTCAATTTTTCCCAATACAAAGTAAAAATGAAAATGTATTTTATTACAATGGACAAGTAAAAGTGAAGGGAGATAGTAATTAGTAGTTTGGTAGGTGATTCTAAGACATGTCACAATATAATTTTCACGATTCAGTGGACGTGGAACACAATTAACTTCTGTCACGGTTCACACGTGAAAAGCAAGTCGTAGAGTGCAATGCAACTCTTCCATACACTTTCCTGCTACTATAAAAAGACAATGGAAGGACATAAGTCGTGACTATAAAGCTAAGTCAAACAAACTCTCAAAGATAAAACAGAGGCGGCTTTGGGAAAAAGGAAGAATATTTAAGGTATTGAAAATGACGGGAAATTGATATTAACTTGAAACAATATCAATATTTTCTACCACTATTATAATCAGAGAGTATCATTCCCTTAAACCCAATTCGCAACAAACCTTGTTCAATAAATCTTCAAAACTTTCTGATATCATTTCAGCAGTACTTCTCTGAATGTCAAATTCACTATTCAAGAACATCCAGTCTATCCTCTTTCTTTCTCAGTTTGAAGAAAGAATTATGTCCTCTTCTTAAATTTTGTACTACATTAGACACGAACTAGTTGCCAAGTTAAGCTGCTCAATGAATAGTATATTTGTCTTGATACTTTTATTTACGACCAAAGTGTCAAGTTTGCACGTAGCTCAGTTATTTTACTGATAATTTGGGTAACGATCCAAACTCATGGCACGTATTGTTCACTTTGGACTTAGGCCTGCACGAATTTGTCATTCTTGCTACGCCACCCCGAGCCTCAAAAGCGTGCGTACCATGTGTGTATGGGTCAAAATCAAATCAGAGAAATTCGACATGCGGAGACAATTGTCATGAGTAACCTGTGAATCGAATTGATCAATAAGGCCGAGGCCGAGCAGTGATCTATAAGGCCGAGGTCGAGCAGTGATCAATAGGGCCGATGTCGAGCAATGATCAATAAGGCCGAGGCCGAGCAGTGATCAATAAGGCCGAGGTCGAGCAGTGATCAATAAGGCCGAGGTCGAGCAGTGCAGATAGAAGTAACGACTAGTTTTGCTTTGGAATCTTCAAAGNGGACTTCTGATAGGGGGCGCCATACCCTCCATCAGATCCGAAAAGGGTCCTAAGATTCTTGTATTTGTCTATCATTCATCTTTATCAAATGAAAGAGGATCCGCCTCACTCAGGATTGGGTGAATCTTTTCCTTTATTTATATTTTATTGCCATTTAATGTTGCTTAATGCATCTTTTTTCATACTATTAAATCTGGCCATAATCACTGCCAGCATTTATACTCAACTATATTTTTCTATCATGTTATTCATCTCAGATCTAGAATTAATTATCCTTAATTAGGATTTACCCTCTATCTTCTTATTTAATTAGTTTAACAAAAAGGTCCCATATTTTTTTGGTCAAACAATTTGGCGCAGTCTGCGGGGATTTTTTAGTTGAAATATTAGTTTCCTCTAGATCTAAAATTCAATTCTAGTTCCACTCTCTGTTCATTGGCGTTTTGGCATCTGAATTCTGCCCCGAAAAATCAGATTCCGTCCAATTCTCGCCGGTAAATCCCTCATAATTCCGGCGAATTCCGTCTACCTTTAATCGCCATGAATCCAGAATAATATGACTATTCTGGCTATGGTGCATCTTCAGGGAAGCCAAGCGAATTTGATACATATGCGGACGTAGAAGCGGTGTATGAGTGCCTTCAAACAGAGTATGGAATTAGCCAGGAAGATTTGATTCTCTATGGGCAATCTGTCGGAAGTGGCCCAACATTACACTTGGCAGCTAAATTACCACGGTTGAGAGGTGTGGTTCTGCACAGTGTGTTGAATTTGTCAAGATTGATGTGAACTAGTGTGAACATTTGAAGCTTCTTTTTTTGGAAGAAATTGGTAGATGCATTTTTTATGCATTTACAATGCATGTTCACACTTAATGTGATGTCATACATGACATTATTACGGCAATTTCCCTTCTATAAATAGCAAGAGTTTTGTTCATTTGTAAACATCTCTCACTTGCCTTCTTATCTCCTAAGGCATTTGAATCTTCTTTCTCTCTTGTAGTATTTCACTTGTATTTTTGGAGTGAAATAAAGTTTGAGTTGATTGTGTCCGAGGAGTAGGCAAAAATCAAATTTTGCCGAACCTCTTTAATTTTCGGTGTTCCTTTTATTATTGTCTCATTTACTATTTATTAGCTACCTTTAGATATAGTAGCTGTGATTTAATCACCCTCTATATATCCGGCTTTCACAACAATTGGTATCAGAGTCAAGGTTCTATCTTAGTATGCTCTGTGGTTGCAGCATAGTCTGAACTTCCACATCAAAAAAGAATTACTTTGGTGTTTTGTACTGTTAGCAAATAAATAGTATTTGTAGCGAAAATGGGAGATAATAAAAATGAAAAATCTACATCAAGTGTCAATAATACGTCATCGTTGGCATCTTCGCTTATGACAAGAATTGTGTCAAATGCAAAATTTGCGGTAAAAATTTTTGACGGGTCAGGACACTTTGGGATGTGGCAAGGCGAGGTTCTAGATGTCCTTTTTCAACAAGGGCTAGATCGTTCCATTGAAGAAAGGAAACCAGATGTTATTGGAGAAGAAGATTGAAAAATTATCAACTGTGTTGCTTGCGGTACCATGCGATCCTACCTTGCTAGAGAGCAGAAATATCCATACGCAAAGGAAACTTCTGCAAGTAAATATGGAAAGCACTGGAGGAGAAATTTTTGAAGAAAAACAGTCAAAATAAGTTGTACATGAAAAAAGACTGTTTCGCTTCACCTATGTTCCTGGTACCACAATGAATGAACATATCACCAGTTTCAATAAGTTGGTCACGGATTTGCAAAATATGGATGCAACTTTTAATGATGGTGACTTGGCCTTGATGTTGTTGGGATCACTTCCTGATGAGTACAAGCACCTTGAAACTACTCTACTCCATGGAAATGATGAAGTTTCTCTTAGAGAAGTTTGTTCGACTTTGTACAGCTATGAAC